GACCTCTCGTTGGAGGTCCGCGTTCTGACGACTTAGCTTCGCGTTCTCAATCAAAAGCCCAGCCAGGTCGCCCTTTACTTCCACGCGGCGCTGCAGCTCCTCCACGTCTTCCACCGTCGTCGTCGCCGTGTCCTTGAGTTCTAATAAACCTTCCCTTCAAATTGCCCGATTTCTTGGCAACACCCAGAACACTGTCCATCGACCTGTTGACGTCCTCAACCAGGTCCTGAGTACTTCTCCTCGTCGGGTCCATCTTGGATTCCCTATCTAGGGATCTCTTCTCCCTTTCTGAACCCGCTTTAGAGGAGGAGGAGGAGCTGTCGGGGCCTTTGCTCCCATCAAAGAAGGTTTCAAAACGATTGTTGTCCTCCATTCCCTCTCTCTCCTTACTCCGTCTTTCCGCCTCCTTCATTCTGGCTTTCATCAGCTTCTTTTTCTCCCGGTCTTTTCCCACACCTATGTACTCGCCAGTGGTGGGTGGTCTACCACGAGGCCGTCGCTCTATCGTCGACATTGTCATCTCTTGCGGGGAGTTCGCGACAATGATGGCATCTGCCTCGTCATCTCCCTCCTCCTTCTCCCTCGGCCCATTATCCTCCAGGTCTTCGAGCATCCCGGCGTCTTGGTACATGCTCACGGAGGAGCAACGTGAGCGCAAAGACTGGTGGTCGTCTTCCTCCGCTGTCTCCCCCTCATCTTCCTCCTTCCTGACCCGGGACCTTCTCCTCTTAGAGGAGACAGGTCCAGGTCTCCCACCCATACACTCGGCCTCGCGTGCTAGGGTCCCCGTAGGGTCCTGCGGGCCGGTGTCTACCCCTTCCCCCCTGTGCACGGTCTCGCGTGCTAGGGACCGCTCAGGGTCCTGCGAGCCGGCGCCTAAAAATCTTCCCGGTGCAATAGGGTCTCTATTAGACCCCTGGGAAGGTAATGGGCTAGGAAGGCCCAAAAGTGAGGAGATTTTCTCACCAGTTTTTCCTTTAATTACTTTCTCCATTTTGTCCTTCTCTCCCTAAGCTCGTCTTCAGGTACGTCAGAGTCAGAGTGACTCTGTATGTGTGTGTGTGTGTGTGTGTGAGTGTGTATGTGTATGTGTACCTGTATGTGTGCGTGCGTGTATGTGCGTGTATGTGTACATTTGTATGTGCGTGCGCGTGTGTGTGTGGTGGGCTGCGCACGATGAATAGCCCTCACTGGGGTGTCCCCTCCGCCAGAGACCAAGATCTCTAGCAGAGTGGCCACCCCAGCTCATCGGGCCGTCCATCGTGCGCACGTGTGTATGTGTACGTGTATGTGTGTGTGTGTGTGTGTGTGTGTGTAGGGGAGAGAAAGAGAAAGAATAAAAGAAGAGAAAAAGAAGAAAGAACAGAAGGAGGGTAGTATGAAACGGAAGAAGAAAGCGGGAGAGAAAAAATCGCCCGTGCCGGGTGCGAGTCCACCTTCCGAAGTGTCGTTCCACCGAAGCCTGCAGCCGCCCAGAGATTGCCAGTGGCCCCGGCGGTGCCCCCCGTTAGATGCTGCATGGTCCCATCCGATCACCAATCGGCACTACAACAACACCGGGATTTTCGCGGCATGGTCGGGCAGCTAGGTCAGGCTGGTTGGGCCGGCCCGGGCCCGTGTACTATACCGCAACCAGGGGATCTCCATAACCCCTGTTTTAACCAATGTACCCTCTGGCGCTCCCCGAGCGTCCGCACTACGGTTTCACTTCACTTCTTTCGGAGGACTCACTTTACAACACGGATTGGCCCCAAGAGAGGGACCTCCACACCCCCCACAGACCCCGCCCCTGAACCCAGGGTACAGGCTCCCATCCCACTTCCGCCCGCCGACGGATGTTGTTCCCTCCGAGAGCGTCCTATGATGGATGGCCCTCGCTAGGGAGTCCTCTTCACCGGAGATCGAGATCACCAGCTAAGTGGACAGCCCCAGCTCAACGGGCCATCCATCATCTATGGGTGTACTTAGTCCAGCCGGGTCACCCTCACCGGGACATCCGAGCGACCAAAGTCGTCCAGATGGCCCGGGGAAGGATTCCAGACCTTCAAGCCCCCTCGCCACGACAAGGCGACACCCAGAGGGGGTATCTTTATTAACCTTTATTAACTTACATTAACCTTTATTAACCTTCATTAACCATAATTAAATTCATCTAAAACCTTAATTAATTTTTCTTTACTTGTTTTCATTATTTATTAACTTTTAATTTTCCCTCTTCTCTTTTTCTTTTCTTCTTTTTTCCTTTTTTATTCTGTCTTATCAGAGAAAATACACCCTCCACTACTCATGTAAATAAATACATTACACTAGCTCACATAATCGACTTTGCAAAATACCGTCTTGAACAATAGCGCGACTTTGGCAATTCTATACTCATAATTCGAAAAATACTTAACCAAAGCAACCTTACTATATCATTTTAGAAACATCTTGAAAAGAACTATCGAGGGAAGCACCATGATTGAAAAATCCTATTTACAACAATTAAGTTAACTATGATCTAACACCAATGACGTCATTTAAGACCAAATAAATACTGTCTTCAATAGGACCCCGCCAAACCCTGAAAATTACAAAATCCATCAACCAATCAATCCAAAGTAAAATTTTACTTATTAACAAATAACCGAACCGGACACCGCGTGATAAATAAGCCTAAAGGTGCCTTTAGATGGGAGCGTCGAGCGTCAAAGCGTCCAACCAATCAAAGTTCCTTGTTTTTATCCCTGAAATAAGAAATGAAAAACTGATTGGTTGGACGCTTTGACGCTCGACGCTCGACGCTCCCATGTAAAGGCACCTTAAGATAAGGTCTTTCTTGTAAACACTATTTCTAAGAACTCTCGATCGATATTATAAATATGCGCGCAGCGTGAAAATTTATATGTAAGAGAATACGTGAAGGACAAGTAATACTGGAGACAGTTACGACCACTTCCAAACATCCGTTCCCACTTTTGATCCCCACCACAGCCTTTTCCACACCATAGCTATTTTCCAGACCCCTCCACCACGGCCTTTCGCACACCATAGCTCCTCCTCAGACCCGAGGAGTTGATCTTGGAAAGCCCGACGAGTCAGTCGATCTCGGGAAACCCAGAAAGCCGGTCACGGGCAAGCTAAGAAACCAGTCGAACTCGAGAAACTCTACTAAGCTGTCATTTTTGGACAACATTATAAGACTCTGGTATTTCGCCCCAGGACTTGCCTTCACGTACTCTCATGCGCTACCATTCTAAGCCGCCATTGTTAATCGTAAGTTGAATTTTATATTGTATTAGGACTAATTAGGTTTTATAAAACTTTGCATTACGGATAAACGTCGTAACGGTTATTCGAGTTGTGACAGGCATTCGGTCAACCTGGTTGAGACAATAGAGAGATATCGTAAACGTTCAGTAATTCAAAATTTAATACACCACTTTGACACACTAACACACACAATATATATATGAAATCACACTAGACCAGTTTTTATGATAAAACTGTAGCTATTGAATATTGTTCAATTAAGAATAGGTCCCATTTTCATTAAAGCACTTCAAAACTCCCATGAATCCCTGGTTGCTCCACCGCAGATGAGCCCCAGAATATCCGTGCGAATTACCTATCGTTAGCTCTCCACGGGAGAGCTCCTCCTTGCAGGAAATAGACTTAAGATCTGGAAGCTCTGGAAGATCTGGAAGCCTGTCTTGGCATCTCCGCATATTGTCGAGCTCCAAGCTAGGCCACCTTGTTATAGCTGACGCTCCAGACTAGATTTTAGTTTTAAGAATCCTTCAGGCAACTCTAATAATCGAGCTCCATTATATCCTCAGATTTCCTGGTAGCTCCAGAACAGTAGAGCTCCAATTACCTTTTTTTTGGTCACGCAGGGGAAACCCATCAGGGGAACCTTCAGCCCTTTGCGGAGGCCGAGGGTTATGTCGGATCCTTACCGACTAGAACCCCTGCGGGATGTCTACCGGTCGGACCGTGGTGGGGGGAGTCAGGGGAACTGCTCCCGCACTCCCTCCTCGACACCCCGGCCACAGGGCTTATTATGGGAGCCCCCCGCCCTAATTACCGTGCTCCATGGCCTCTCTCCGCAGGGAAGGGGTCAGAGCACGGTACCCCGATCGGTGACCGATCGGGTTGGCCTTCTGGTTCTCTTTACGGAAGAGAGGGGACATGCCTACCCTCCCTCCCACCACGCCCCCTCCAGTCTACTCTGATCGAAGAGGGCGGTGGAGTGGGGCCCGTCCCCAAACGGGCCACCGCTCCCCCCTTCCTTCTTGTCCGAGGCGTACGGTGAAGGTCGGTTTATCTCCGACCTCCCCCGCGCGCACGGAGACGAGCCCGAGGCGGCCGAAGGAGTCCCCGAGGAATCGGAGGCTTCTCCTCGGCCGGCGCCACCTCGGACTTGCTACCCAACCATAGGGAGCGCCGCTCTGTCCGCCGCTCTCTTCGGCGGACTCCCGGGCGACGCTCCCTCTGTGCGGCCTCCTTCTTGGACATCACGTCCCGTGCGAAGGAGACCACTGCTCCGCACCCCTCCTCGCTCCCTCACATAGATCTGACCAAGTGCGAGAGCAAGATCTCCCCCACCGCCCGGGCGAAGACACTGCGTTGAGGAGCCCACGCCTGACATTGCGCCAGGGTGTGCTCCGCAGTGTCCTCAAGCGCCGGGCAGTGGTGGCATCTAGTGGTGGGTTCCTTTCCGATCCGGTGCAGGTACGACCCGAAACATCCGTGTCTGGTCAGTACCTGCACCAGATGGAAGGTCAGTCCACGCCCAGCCCTATCCGCCATCTCGTCCAGACAGGGGCGGACAGCCTCGGCCGTTCGGCGCCCGAAACCCCTGGGATCGGACAACAGGTCCACCCACTTTCCCAGGGTCCGGGCACTGGCCAGGGACTTCAGGGCCCTCATTCCCCTGACTGTTAGCTCTCCTCTTCGCAGAGCTCACGCACCCGCCAATAGAGAATGTCTCTCATCGACGATAAGGGGAGGGGAGCCGGTCAGGCCGCCATATGGGACACGGTGCGGTACCCCCGAATGGCCCGTATGACCACCGGCCGCAGCGCCTGGCGCATCAGATACTTGTTGCGGTCGTTGGCCGCCAACTGGGGCGCCCAGATGCGCACCCCGTACAGGGCCATCGAGAGCACCACACCGATGTAAAGGCGGCAGGCTCTCCATCCTGGGCCCCCCTGAGCGCGCATCAGGCTAGTCACTTTGAGCCCTGCCCCGCGCACCCGTGGGGCCAGATTCCTAAATGGACCCGGAAGTCCCACTGGCTGTCCAGCGTCAGGCCCAGATATTTCATCGTGGGCGCGACCTGGACGTGGACTCCATCCACCAGGACCCGGGTCGGCGGCGGCGCCCCGCGACTGCCGTCATGAAAGAAGATGCACTCAGTCTTATGGGGCACCACCCTGAGACCCTGGTCCAGGATTTCACCCACCACCGATGCGAGTGCCACCTCCATTTGTAGGCGAGCCTCCCCCAGGTTTTTTCCCCGGCAAGCACCAACATATCGTATGTATAGCAGACCACGTTGGCCCCGAGGGGGAGAGGAGTGCGCAGCACCCGGTCGAAGGCGATGTTCCACAGTAGGGGCCCCAGAACGGATCCCTGTGGAACACCGCTCTCCATAACGCGCCGGCCTTGAACCCCGCCTTCCTTGGTGAAGGCGAGGTCTTTGCTCTCGAAGTGGGCCGCCAAGGCCTGTCGGAGATAGGCGGGCACCCGTGGAACTCGAAGGCCCTACCTATCTTCGGCCAGGGCAGGCTGTTGGAAGCATTTGTGAGCCTAACGACATCGCTATCCGCACCGTACCCCCCCTCTCCACGACCGCCCGGGCCAAGTCCTGGACGCACTGGATCGCATCCAGCGTCGAGTGTCCGGGCCTGAACCCGAATTGGCGGTCGTGGAGGCCCGGCCCCTCCAAGGACATGTGCTGGACAAGGCGGTCAGCGATAATGCGTTCGAGCATCTTGGCCGCCTCGTCCAGCAGGCATATCGGCCTGTAGGCCGACGCGCTCCCGGGCACCTTGCCCTCCTTCTGGAGGAGGACCAAGTTGGCTCTCCTCCACTCCGAGGGGAAAAACCCCCTCCTTCGGGCACCTGCTCATGGTGACCCGCGTGACTTCGAACAGGTTTCCCTCGCCGAGGGCGAGAGCCCAAGCGCGGCCAGGAATGCCGTCGGGGCCGGGGGCTTTCCCCCTGGCCCCGAGCCTTTTCCTGGCCCCGGCGAGCTCCTCTGGGTCGACCTCCCGACTCTCGTCCCAGTCCCCGTCCCGCAACTCGGGGGTGGGTATCTGGGGCGGGCCCCCTTCTGCCCTCGGGAAGAGGGCATCCAGGAACCCCTCGAGAGCCCGGCGGTCCAGAGTCTCCGTTACCGGGGGCGCACACGGACGTAGTTTACCCATTGTCCGTTTATACGGGTGCCCCCAGGGATCCTCATCCAGAGAGCTCACCAGTTGCTCCCAGGCTCGTCGTTTCCCTTCGGCGATGGCGGTCTTCAGAGTTTTCCTGGCATTGAGGTACTCCTCCTTCGCCCCTGCGGCATCCCCGTCTCGTCGCCGGGCCCGGGTGTACACTCTTCTGGCGCGGACGCAGGAGTCCCGGAGTTCCGAGATCTCCTGCGTCCACCAATAGGCAGTCCGGCGCCGACGGGTGTGGAACCGGGGCATCGCGACGTCGTAAGCCGACACCACGATACCCACTATCTCCCTGGCCCCCTCCTGGGGGCCAGGGTCCCACTCACTCGGCGTCTCATCCAGATGCCAGGTGGCCGGAAAGACGGCCGTCTGAAACCTGTCCGAGTCCAGTTGACCGAGTGCCCATCTCTTACGGAGGAGGGGAAGGTTCCCCTCTCCTGAGCGGCGGTCCAGCACCCGCTCGGGGACGGGGACGTGAAGGGCACACACTATATGTCAGTACCCGACAGTGATTCGCTCTCCACATCCACCGCCCATTCCCGGAACAACCGGGTGGCCGAGGGGGAAGCCCAGGTTAAGTCTATGACCGATTCCCCCCCGGCCGCAAGCAGGTGCTGGCGGACCCCCTGTTCATCAGGAGTAGGTTAAGTCCCGCCGCCCATTCGACCAAGACCTCGCCCCGAGGATCCCTTTGCCGGGGACTGCACCCCCACTCTTCCGAGTGGACGTTGAAGTCCCCGGCTATAACTACGGGTCGGGAGTGGCACTGCCGTACCACCTCCCCGACCCTATCGAGGATTCTCATTATGGAGACAGGGTCTCTCAGGCCCTCCCTATTTCTGCGGTGGGGGAGGTACACCCCCACCACAGTGATGGGCCCCTAATTAACTGCCACAAACGAGGTACCCGCTTTCCTGAGAAGACAGGAAGGGGACCCCGTTGCGGGTTGAACCATCATAGCCACCGAGCCATCGGGGCTGCCAAACCAGCAAGGTTTGCTGGATGGCACCCAATGTGGCTCGGTGGCTATCTCCAGCCCGTCCCGCAGTTCCAGGATCCCGTGTATCCACAAGTCCTGGGCCCGGCGGCTGCGGCCGAGGTTGGCCTGTATGACCCGGAGTGGCGTGAAGGCTAGGCCTTTCACGCCTCCTCCGGGCTGCCTGCTTCCACTCCTTCCTGAGAAACTCCCTGCGGCTCAGCCGCGCCAGTCTCGCAGGAAGGGGTTTCAGCCAAGGTGGCTCCAATCACAGGCTCCTCTGTGGAGGTACAGGGGGGCCCTACCTGTGCCGTCCCCTATCCTGGGAAATATGGGGGCAGCTTAATGGGGGATTCACAGGTGGCGCGCCCGGCTCCCCTTGTCTTAGGGTTATTGGGAGTGTGTCCGTGGACACCACCCACCTTACCTTGTCCGCTACGTGAGAAGGGGTCTCCTCGTCCGTCGTCCCCACGACCTTTTCCTTCCTCTTCTTCTGGGGCTACGGCTGCTCTCTCTCCTCCTGGGTGAAGGGGTTGAAGGAGGATGTCTCCGCATTCACCAAGTTCTCCTCCACGGAGAAGGCCAAGCCGCTCTCCGGCCATTCCCTCGTTGGGGAGGAGACTGATCCTGTCTCCTCCCTTCCCGGGTCTATGACCTGGGAGGTCTACCCTTTTAAGTCCCCCATCGCGGGGAGAATCAGCCTGTTCCTCCCGATCCTTGGTCCCTTGATTCCAGAAGGGTCGGTCAGACCTCTTTCCCCTCGGGATCCCCCAGTGGGGAGGGGGCCAGTCCAGCTCCCTCCCTGTCATGATCGGGGTCCAGTTGATCCGCTGGAGATTCGGGCCTTCCCCACCTTTGCCTCCTCCGGTCTCCCTATCCTCTCCTTCCCTCCTAGTTTCCTCCCCTTCTCTCTCTTCCAGGAAGAGAGAGGTTTGCAGACAGGCCCTCCGATCTTATGATCCGAGGGCCTGCCCGCTTCCGCGCACACCAGGCAGTGTGCCACCGCTTCGCAGGCCGCGGCGCGATGGCTAGGGTTACCGCAGCGATAACAACAGTCGCTGCGGTCGACGGCGCCCGTGCGCCGCTCGCGCACATGTCCCCGCTCCAAACAGCGGTAATATAGCTGCGCGCGAGCGGGCAGCGCCGTCACCCCGGCTCGGGTCCACCCCACGCGAACCCGCCCCGTCGCGGTAACCTTAGTGGCCACCGCGAGCGGGCACCTCACCACCGCGGCTGCAGTCCCTCCCTGACAGACGCTTATCCCACTCACGGACATCTCCTGGTGAGCATCCCACAGCGAGGGACATAGCGGCCGTCACCTCCTCGGTCCTGATCGTCACGTCCAGGCCGGTCAGTCGCACAGCTGTGATCTTGACCGGCTTCCGGACGCTATAATCGGGGCCTTTCTCCGCCGCCAGCTTGCGGAGTTCCTCCGCGAGCTGGTCGGCGGAAGCCCCCGACCGGAGGCCAGGAACCTCAACCAGTAGCTCTCCGTTGAGGGCCTGGCGGATCCTGACGGGACCATCGATCCCGACATCCGCCGGCCGGATACGGTTCCTGGCCTCCGCCATGAAGTTTTTGTACTCCTCGCGGATGAGGGCCCCCAACAACTTTAGACGGGCAGTCGGTGGGTGTGTCCCCCCGACTCCCTAGTAGACACGCCCCCGTACTCCCGAGGGGAAGGGCGGGTAAAGGTAGGGACCTCCCCAGCATCTGCGCACTTACAGGCGCCCGCATGTGAAGCCACCGAAGTCGAGGCCAACACCATCTCGGGGGAGACTGAGATGGCCCCGCCGTCTGATGTCTCCCAGGAGGGGGTGGAAGTAGATAGCCCGGAGGAGGCGAACAAGGCTTAGCCTTCACGCCCCTCCGGGTACTACAGGCCAACCTCGGCACTGGCCACCGGGCCCAGGACCTGTTCTGGAACAGGATCCTGGAGCTCGGTGCCGGGCTGGGGGTGGCGACCGAGCCGCACTACGTGCCATCCACCAGCAAGTGCTGGTTCGGCAGTAGGGACGGCTCGGTCGCCATGGTGGCAAACCCCGCGGCGGGGGCTACGCCATGTGTAATCAGGGCAAAGGGGTCCTCGTTTGTGGCGGTCGACTGTGGGCCCATCATGGTGGTTGGAGTGTATCTCCACCACCGTAAGAATAAAAAAGTCTGGGAGACCTCGCCCGTGTTATGAGGGTCCTAGACGGGATCGGAGATGTGGTGCGAAGATGCCATCCCCGACCCGTCGTGATTGCCGGGGACTTCAACGTTCATTCGGAAGGGTAGGGGTGTAGTCCCCGGCAAAGGGACCATCGGGGCGAGGCTCTCATTGACTGGGCAGTGGGGCTTGACCTCTCGTTGATAAACGAGGGGTCCGTCAGCACCTGTGTGCGGCTGAAGGGGGGAGTCGGTCACTGACTTGACCTGGGCAACCCCTTCGGCCGCCCGGTTATTCCGGGAGTGGAAGGTGGAGGTGGAGGGCGAAACACAATCGGATCACCGATACATAGTGTGGGCCCTCCGCTTCCCCGGACCTCCACAGGTGCTGGCCCCCCACTGCCCCGGAGAGGGGGACTTTCCCCTCCCCAGAAGATGGGCCCTCAGTCGACTAGATGCGGATAGGTTCAGGGCGGCCGTTCTCGTGGCCACCTGGCACTTTGACAAGGAGCCAGGTGAGTGGGCCCTCAGCCCCCAAAAGGAGGCTGAAGAACTAGTGGGGATAGTGGCGTCGGCCTGCAACGCCGCTATGCCCCAAGCCCACCCTCGCCGTCGCCGGGTCGCGTATTGGTGGACGGAGGAGATCTCGGAGCTCCGGGACTCCTCCGTCAGTGCCAGACGGCACCTGTACCGTACCCGGCGAAGAGGCGAGGACGTCACGGGAGGGAAGGAGGCCTGCTGGCCCGGAAGGCCCTCCGAGACGCCATCTCCGAGTCAAAACGAGTAGCCTGGGAGCAAATGACGAGCTCTCTGGACGACGACAAGTGGGGGCGTCCGTATAAAAAAGTTATGGGCAAGGCCCGCTCTTGGGCTCCCCCGCCGACGGAGTCGTTGGACAGCCGGGACCTCGATGGGCTCCTCGACACCCTCTTCCCGAGGGTGAGAGGGGGCCCACCCAGGATCCCCGCCCCCGATCTGGGGAGGGGGACTGGGACGAGGGTCTGGCTGTGCAACCGGACGAGCTCGTCAAGGCCAGGAGAAAGCTCGGGGCCAAGGGGAAAGCCCCTGGCCCCGACGGGATTCCTGGTCGGGCCTGGGCTCTCGCGCTGGGCGAAGAGAGCCTATCCGCCCCCATACGCGGTGTTTTCAGCGGGTGCGTAAAAGAGGGAGTGTTCCCCCCAGCGTGGAGGAGGGCCAAGTTGGTCCTCCTCCCGAAGGATAGCAAGACACCCGGGAGTGCGCCGACATACAGGCCGATTTGCCTGCTGGACGAGGCGGGCAAGATGCTGGAGCGTATCATTGCGGACCGCCTCGTCCAGCACATGTCCTCGAAGAGGCCTGATCTCCACGACCGTCAATATGGCTTCAGGTCCGGGAGGTCCACACTGG